AAGCCATGGAATGAGAACATTCCCAACTTTGTGTGCTAGAAAAAGGAGATATTACTCTCCTGATGACCAGAAAGACTGAACAAAATAAAACATGAGATACAGATCAACACAGCTACCTCTCTGAGACTTGGAACAAAATATTCAGTCCTTTTTACCTGCAATCAAGGATCACTAGCTTGAAAAATTATAAGCGAAAGATCTTGGCATTTCCTTAAACTGTAGATGAATGTTAAATACAAATTGAATTTACAGTAGCTTACAGATGGCAGTAAAGCCAGGTTTGCTTGACCTTTGATAGTGTAACTACCGGTAAATCTGGGACTAGCCAACTTCAGATTTTTTTTTTTTTAAAATCTTACTCTTACAAAATTATTACTACTGCTAATGGCTTAAATCAACAAAAAGTGAAACAAAATTAGCCTACTCTGCTTTTGACAACACATCCTACTTGGGAAAACATACACATCAGTTTGGAAACTCAAAGAGAAAGCTAGCAAATCTAATGGAAAATGACAATTCAACAGTTTAGATCCACATAATGTGAATGAAGTTTGTATTATATTCTCTGTTAGATATGCTTTGCACAAAAGTATAAACCAAATGATAATCATTGTATACCTAGTAAATTCAGAAAATCCAAAAAACATTTAGCTTTTGATATGGTAGGTAGTGTTAATCAAAATTAGACTGGTAATCAAGAGATTTAATTATTTACTTCTTTATTTAGCTTGAAACAATACTACTAGCACAGTCCTATTTTGTTTTTGTTTTTGCTTCAGCTACCCCAGACTAACACGGCTACATTTCTATCACTATCCTATTTTGTTTGCAGAGACAGTCTGCCTCTGCAGCACTCTTCTTAGTTTCAAATGAACTCTGCATGTTCAATGTACAAAAGGATTTTTTCAGATTTACATCACAGTACTAGCTTTTACAATCTAAATTTTAACTCCGTCCAAAACCAGGATTATCCAGAGAAGAAAACACTGAAAATTAAATACTTACATTTTTCAGTTTCCTACTGTTGTCAATGTTCCTGGATGCACACACAAAAAAAGAGAAGAAAGAAAAATCAGAAAGCAGACACTGTTTCCAAGAGTGTGTATGTAGGAGATCACGTGGTTTTCCTAACAAAAGCCTGCAGGATGCTTCTGTTGGTTGGAAACACAAGAAAGCTAGGAAGATGTTGTGCATTCATTCATAATGTGGGAGTATTCTGCAATCATTAAATTACAACGCTTTCAAAGCAAAAAGAAAATATGCTATAGAAGTCCCACAGTGAAGTGGCTAGTGCCAAGAATGAAACACAGAATTGCTGATATGTACTCAAGGAAGACTAAAGACCTAAACCCTAAAACTCGACTGCAGTTCAAGGGTCAAATTTTGCTCTCCAATATGTCATGAATACCCAATGGTAAAACAGAAATTGAACGTGCTTGAAATGTTTAAACAAACATGGCTTGCCCCAGAGAACATCTCACAAAGAAAATCCACATCATACAGACAGCAGAAGGGAGATGAAATAACACAGATGATATTAATAATTAATAACACAGAGTTACAGTCTTCTCATGTGCACCTGTAGTATAATATCTGTTTGCTGCTCTGTGAAAGTATACTTAGCATTTACACTGAAGACTAACATCCTTTTGGGGGCAAATGCCTTAGCTAGCATTCCTTCACTATGTCTAGAAGTCTTAAATTAGGAGACTACATGAAGCTCAAAGTTGTGAAAACACAAACAACAGGAAAATTATAAGGCTTCACTTCAAATTCATTTTATTTTTAGCCAAGAAATTTCTTGGAGTACTGAACATAAAAAGAATGTGTCTAACACATCTGCGTATTATACAAACAAAACAAACTTACTGCAAATATTTAGCTTAGATTATCCTCCGAATAAAATTAAAAGCTAATTCATTTCAAACTATGCAAGTCTACTCTGGTGATAAATTTATATGACTGCCAAAATCAGAATGTTTGTTTACATTTATGAAAATACTGAAAGCCTGAAAAATAAAGGAACTTAAAATAATCCGTCGTTTTCCAAGTGCATTCTTCTTCTAGTAAATTCATCCTAAAAAAATATTGTTCATATTTTCTTTTCCACTGCGATCTTAGTATGAAAAAGTATTTAATCTGATTAACATCAGACTATTTTGTAAAGCATTAGATCACAACTTTTTATAGCTGAATGACCAAAAGTATGCTTAATACATTCCATTTAAATGCACAAAAATAAATCACAAAAAGAATTAAAAGATATGCCATTATTTTAATCATGTGTAGTTTAATATTGATTTGTTTTATGTTGCAGCATGGAATAAACAATCTTTGCTACAATAAATAAGCATTCAAAATGGCTGCAAACTAGGGAGTAGAATTATCTTTCTTACTATGGTGTTCATTTAGTACAGGTTGTACCTCCCTAACCAGGACTCTCTGGTCTGGCAACACACGTGGTCTGGCAGGACCGCAGAGGTTCCTGGACCACAGAGCCCAGGAACAGGGAGATCGGGCAGAGGGCAGGAATGTGATAAAGTGGGGGCAGGGGCATGCAGGGTGGGCAGCAATGGGGAGTTCTGCTGCAGTGGCCGGGGAGCTCAGGCCCAGGCCCTGGAGCTCCAGTCTCATTCTGCCTCCAGAGGCTGCAAAGCTCCAGCTCCAGCCAGGGAGCTCTGGCTCTGGCTGTGGAGCTTCCTGCCCGGAGCCGGAGGGCGGGAGCCAGAGTTCCCTGGCTGCCGCAGGGGCTGGAGCTCCCCAGCCACTGGAGCCAGTTTAGGTCAGCAGGTCTGTATCAAGGAAGCTCCAACTCCAGAGGCAGCCAGACAGCTCCAGCCCCCAGCCTGGCTGCCGAGCTGGGGACCTCCAAACATAAAACTACAGCCATGGTGCTCTGGCAGCAGCTATAGCACCACAGGGGATAGGAGCCCTGGCCCAGGGGCAGCAGACAGCTCGGACCATAAGGGAAGGAACCTCTCCTGGTCCAGCAAATCCCCTCATCAGGTCCCCTGGTCAGGTCCTGAGGGTGCTGGACCAAAGAGGTCCAAACTGAAAAAACAGCCAGTGACTTTCAACATGAACTTGGGAAGTTCAAGGGAAAGTTTTTCAGCTGGATTTCTGGAGGTGAGTTTCTCTGAAGAGTGGGGGAAAGAAAAGATTTTCTGACAACAAGCACCTCCCTGTCCATCTACCACCACGTTATACTGAGGGCCAATCCAATTCTCCAGTTTACTATTAACTTTTAGTTTAACTCATTCAAAACTGCATTAATTCAAAAACTTTCACAGAACATTCTAGGCAGCAGTGGGCAGAACCCTACTGGTTTTGGTAAAAACCAGGGATCCCAATCAAAATCAGGCTAAGTAAGAGAAAAGCCAGTTTCACAAAGTCCCTAAGCGACGCTACATACAGATGAATCTCTCTGTCATTGCCTGCTGCTCACTACCAGCTTAACTTGCTGGGAAGATAATGGAGCAAGTAATTAAGGAATTCATTTGCAAACACTCGGAAGATAATAAAGTAATAGCCAGCATGGATTTGTAAAGAACAAATCACGTCAAACGAATCTGATAGCTTTCTTTGATAGGATAACAAATCTTGTGGACAAGGGAGAAGTGGTGGACGTGGTATACCTAGACTTTAGTAAGGCATTTGATATGGTCTCGTATTATCTTCTTATGTTAAACAAAAGAATGTCACCGTTATTACACGTTTCAATTAACCTTTTTGGCCACTTCAACGCTCTTTTGGGAATACTGAAAAGCAAAGCAGCTTTTAGACATGTCCATGCCTTAAAAATTCTATGCAGCTTTTTCACATAGACCTGAATGAGCGCCCCGGTACTATTAGCAGACATTTACAATTCCTTTGTAAAATGTTTCTTAAATCCCCCTTAGTCCGAACTCCGGTACTACGGCTACATGCAGCATGGAGTAGGTAGTTCAAATTAAAGATCCTAATTTGAACTACCGTTACTCCTCGTGGAATGAGGAGTAACAGTAGTTTGGACTAGGAAGCCTAGTCAGAACTACCTAGTCCGTGCCGCGTGTAGCCGCGCGGCACGGGGGTCGAACGAGCGGGGATTTAAAAATGGCGGCACCCCGCTTATGCAAATGAAGCCCGGGAAATTCAAA